GTGAAGGGTTTTTTCGAGATAGGGTCTCACAAACTATTAGCCCGGGCTGCTTCAAACCTCGATCCTTCTGATCTCTACCTCCTGAGTAGCTAGGATTACAGATGTGAGCCACCAGTGCCCACTTTTGTAGGCCATTTTTTGTCTTGCAGTACTGGAGTTTGAACTCACAGCTCATTAGGCAGGGCTCTACCACTTGAGTCACACCCCAGCAATAGCCTGGTATTTGCTAAGCAAATACTCTACCATTTGACCCACACCTCCAAGATTCTTTTTGTTTTATTTGATTTGGATTTTTTTTGAGATAATGTCTTATTAGGTAGCCCAGGCTAACCTCAAAATTGATACCCTTCTGCCTCAGCCTCCCAAGTGCTGATAATCGGAGTGTGCCACCACACCCGGATTGAAGTTCACTTTCTTAAGAGTGATTTAGTTCCATGAATTGACATTTTAAATGTGCATATCTTTTTTAACTCAGCTGTTCCATTTCCTAGAATATGTTCTAAGGAGATAGTGGACAGGTGTGCAAAGATGCATATACCAGGATGTTTATCATAAAATGTTCATAATAATCAAAATATTACAAATAAAAATCTGAAAAGATATATTAAAAAAAACTCATTCACTCAACAAATACTTAAGCATCAACTGTGAACCAAGAGCTGTCAAAAAAAAAAAAAAAACACTACTACTCAGTACTACTACTCAGTACTGAGTAGTAGTGAAAAAGAAAATAAAATTCCTGTCTTCATGGAGCTTACATTCTAATGGAGGGAGTTAGGCAACAAACAAATAAGAAAAGTATGTAGTATATTAAGTGGCACTAAATGCTACAGATAAACATACAAGAGGGACATGAGATCATTACAATTTTACAAAAGAAGGTCAGAGAATGCCCCACTAATAACATGACATAAATGGATTATTTACCAGAGAATAAAATGTATATCCAGTGAGTACATTCACTCACTGAAATGATTCAACTATTTATTTTATATTTATTGACATGAAAAGAAGTCTCTAAAACACAAGTTAAAAAAATAAAATCTGCTGGATGTGGTGGCAGGTGCCTGTAACCCAGTCCACAGAAGGCTGAGGCAGAAGGACCAAAAGTTTGAGGTCAGTGTAGGCTACATAGCAAGACCCTGTCTCAAAAAACCAAAATCACAAGTCACAAAACAGTATATTTTTATTTATTTATTTATTTATTTAGCAGTACTGAGGTTTAAACTCAGGGCCTTGACCTTGAGTCACTCCACCAGCCCTTTTCCTGAAGGGTTTTTCAAGATAGGCTCTCTTGAACTCTTTGCCAGGGCTGGCTTCAAACTGCAATCCTCCAGATCTCTGCCTCTTGAGTACCTAGGATTACAAGCATGAGCCACCAGCATCCAGCTTGTGATGAGTTTTTTTTGAGATAGGGTCTCATGAACTATTTGCCCAGGCTAGCTCCGAAACTTGACCCTCCTGATTTCTACCCCCTGAGTAGCTAGAGTGTGGTGCCACTGGTGCCCAGTCACAAAACGGTATTAAAAGGGGAAAAAAAAAACCAGACAAGGCGTGATGGCACAAGTAATCCTAGCATTTGGGAGACTGAGATAGGAGAATCTCCAGTCTTGAGACTATCCTGGACTAGAGAAGCCATCTTAAAAAAAAAAAAAAAGAAGAAGAAAAACACAGCATAAAGATGGGATTTCATTAATATAAAATTACATATGAGAAGTCAAACGTGATGAACACCTATAATCTCAGCACTCAGGAAGCTGAGGCAGGAGGATCTTGAGTTTGAGGCCAGCTTTGGGCTACATAGTGAGACCATGTCTCAATTAAAAACACAACAGGGCTGGGATTTGGGGTGTGGCTCAAGTGGCAGAGTGACTGCCTAGCAAGCACGTGACACCCTGAGTTCAAATCCCAGTACTGCAATAAATAAATAAGATTCTGAGTAACCTGATGAACAGAGTCTAGATATATTTGCTCTAGGTATGTGGGACCAGGTTATACTTCTTTCCAAGATATAAAGCCACAAACAAGAAACTAGCAACTTCCCACAGGTAGAATCCATGTTGCTGACCCTATATTTATAGGCTGCAGTGGGGAGTATAGCACATGATTAGATACACAGCTTAGGGTAATTTTGACTATTTCAAAATATTTCTCACATTCTCATGTAACCTCTTGGAGACCTAACAAATGCCAGTCCTCATATTCCTATTGTGTGCTACTGAATTAAGAAGCCAAAGGCAATTTATTCCTCAATTACTCTGTAAACATGCAACCTGATGACATATGATGAGTGCATAATTCAGATTCAGTCTGGGCAGTGGCTGGATTCCTTCCTTCTCCTAGGACTTTTGTTTGAGCTGGACATGAGGATAACTGAAGTCTAATCAATAACCCTGGAGAGGCGAGAGGTGTGGGGAGGAATCCCAAACAATGTATGCACATGTGAATAAATGAATAAAAAAAAAATAAAATAAAAATAACCCTAACCTGCTACGATAAGATGCCTCTGTTA